TGAGTAGAGAACTCATCATGTATTCATGTTTATGTGGTTCTTGGTATGTAGCTTGTTGCCTGTAGGATGTTTGTCCATGTACTAGTAAGTACCATACGTCTTTACTCAGTATTTACAGTTTACAGTTTATTGGTATGTATGTGTGGATACTCAAGTGTGATGACTGTAGAGCTGCGGATGAGTGTAAGAGAGTGTGTAAAGTCCATGTGATTACCACGAAAGGAGGCCCCAGGTTGACAGGAAATGGTTCGAGATAAGATAATGACGTCCCTCGCTTCTCCTGCATCCGGAGTTGTAGCTTTCTTTGCCACTATACTACGCCGCGATATGCCGTTTAGTTTGACTTTTATAAAGCCTTCTTTATATTCCACTTAAACAGGTATATACATATTAAAAAAACAATCTATACATAAATGTATTTAACATAAGTACTTATGTATAGAAAAGAAAAGGATATATAAAAATGATGCAGAGCTTTACTTCCTTTGATATGCATCTATATTGAGAGAGGCTTTTACCATGTGTACATCCGCTCTAAATTTGCAATTGTTTCTTCATTATTATTATGATTAAAAATTACATTATAAGAACAATTGCTGTCTTGTAGGAGTATATTACCTACAGTTTGTATACAAATAAAGTAATCCATTATTATTTTTTTCTTTTCCATGCCCATAATAATATTTATAAAGACTAGATTAATATTAATTATTTAATTAACTAAGTGGTTTATTCACTGATAGAAAATAGAGGATGCAGATGTCATTATTTTTACTGTTGGTATATTATTAATTTGTTTAATTAAAAAAATGTTTCAGACAGACGTACCGGATAAAGTTAAGAAGATTTGATACACTATAATAATGAAAGTGTTATTTTTTTATAAGGAAGAATATGACAATGACGATAATAATGAGGATGATGGAAAACTGGCGCGCATCAGCATTACCCGGAACGACTTTTCCGTAGAAAGTATCCCAGAATATCAGAGTAACAGCTTTCACGTTTAAAACATGCAATGTCTCATTTTGAGACATGACATGTGAATTCTATTGGGCAATAATAAACTTATCCGGACGGTAGCAGACCGTCTAACTAATCAACCAGCATAGGATTAATTCTCTCTACCCTCCGTTCGTAATAATTGATTATTTTATATCCTAAAATTAGAATTCTATAACAATATGCATAAAGCTTTTCACAGCTAACTGGTATACCTGCAATAGAACGAATTATTTTATATTTATTATTAGCTATATATATTCACACGTATTAAAACGTCGAGATATATTACCAGAAGCTATGAATTTTAATAAGGTATAAAATAAAAATAGAAAATTTATTAAATACTAAAATATCTTTTCATGGAAATAATATCATTTGAATTTTCTATTTTCAGCTTTCAGGTCGTGAATTTGTTTTACAATATGTATATGCAAAAATAGAAAAAAAAAAAAAAAAAACAAAAAAAAAAAAAAGGGTGTATGATGTTTAAGTACATTGATCCCCGGAGAGTATTATAATCTCGGGCACTCCGGGCTACCAGCTTTTGAATACTGACCAAGTATTTTGCAGGATTGCTATTCTAGAAAAGCCCGTGACAGCCAACCGGTTTACCTGGACGAATCGATTACTTGCCATTTTCCGAAGGTTCACGATATTTTATTTTAGGTAAATGCACCATACCAAATATATACCCGGAAATAACGCTGCTTGAGGTATAATATTTTCAGAATTGTTATTCTAAAATTTTCAAAGGACTTATTGAGGGGCATTCCATGCGAAAAGGGAAAATGACTAAAATTTTTAAATTTCTCTAATTCATTCTAATTAAATCCTAATTTATTATTAAAAGTTTATATGTTACTAATTTGTAAAAAATACTATTTTTTAACCAATAAGAAAATCGATTTTTCTCTCCAAGTAACTTTTCAGCCGTACTAACTTGTATTCGAGTCAAATGTTGTTTTAATAGTTTTAAGAACAAATTTTTTTATGTTCGTTATTAATTAACTAAATCCTTTATTAGTGTTTTTTAATTAGTTTTTTTTTAATTATACTAAATAATTTATAGTTAAATATATAAACAATTACAAATGCCTGTCCCACCAGTCACAATAAAAAATTTTTTTAATTGTTTCTACATAGGTAATCAGTCTAATTCTTTACAATATTGAATGTTTGTAGGATTAATTTTATATTGAGAGGGAAGTATTTTTTAAAAGTTTAGTTGTCGAACTGAAATTCGACTTTAAGTATACCGTGGTAAGAGAAAAGGATTTTTCGATGTCCCACCAGTCACGCACTCAGTCAAATGATAATTAGAAGAAACTTAAAAAGTAATCGAGGTTTTTGACAAAGGAATGTTATTAATTCGTTATTCTTCTATATTATAAGATAAATTTTACTATAGTATAAGTTTCAGTCACATAATTATAGCTTATAATTGATGAAATTCTAATGTCAAATCTCCCACCAGTCACTATGGAATGCCCCTTGAATAAATTTTATGATTTCAAAAAACATTAAAGCAGATCCTATCTTTAAAAAAAAAAAATATCAATTTTATTTTTATCTAAAATTAGTAAAACGTATAATTCATAAACAATTATTTTTTGCATCAAGAACATGAAAGATAACATAGCGGAACTCTTTGAAGTTAATAATACTCGGGTTGTAAGTTTTTTTAATCATTTTCTTCCCTGATTTTAAAGGATTAATTATACCCGTAGAATGTTTGCAAGATTGTGGATTATGGAGTACGTTAAAGCTTGATATAATATTGGATGTACAGTAGATACTTGCAGACTAAATAGGTATACACTTACACATTGTATATTATGACTGTGCATGGTGTGCAATGTGTACCTGTGTGCGAAAACGGCGTGGGTAGAAATGTACGTTAAAGGGGAACGGAGTAGAAGCGGTGAGCAGACAAGATCCATACATGCCATCAGCAGCAGCACCAGAGTATTGGAGAAGAGGAAAGAAAAAAAATGTACCGGAGAAACAGGAGGATGAGAGGTACGGGAATCTGAATATGAGCGTCCGGTTTACTGAATGAGTAAAACTCTCTCAAAAGTTGTGCGCCCACATTCTCAGCTCCAAGTTTTATTTAGTTATTGTAACTATATACATTTGTAAATTAGCCAACCGTAAATAAAAAACGGAGTCAGATTTATTTTATTATAAAAATCTTTGATTTATTCTTATTATATATATTATCTTTTTAATTTACTAGGCATACAATACAGAATTGAAGTTATGACCAAAGAGAGAAAGAGTTTAAAAGTAAGATGATAATTCAAACGCACGTGTATTGAATTGCTCAGTACTCAGTATGTACAGTATCAATTCGTTTAAGCCTGAGATTTAAAATTTTTTCACGCGAGTATCTGTGAAGGATGAATTATATTACATAAAATGTAAAATAGAAAAGCGAGATGCGCGGGAATGTTATATCCTCTTTATGTAATATTTACAATATATATACATATATGTGCAATTATGAGTAGGCACTTTATACGTTATTCCGAGTGGTTGAATAAGCTCACATGGTAGAACGCCAAATAAAAGAGAGAGAAGATATTATTCAAATAGTGTATGGTGTAGGCGGCATTTAGGTCGTGGGCAAGGGAGTAGAATGTGACCAAAGTAATCAATGAGATTACTAAGAGCGAGAGAGTGATATGAGGGGGTGAAAAATTCTGCGCGGCAGCACCCACGCTGATACTACGCACGAAACCTCGTCCCGACCGCTTTTACTCCTATCCTACATACTTTTTTTTATAATTTTTTTTTTTCTTTTACTTTTACTACTCTCTTCAGTGTACAACTTATCTTTTTTTTTTTTTTTTTTTTTTTTTTATCATTTCTTCTTTATTTTTACATCCATTCTGACTCCCTCAGAATTTATTTTTCGTGTGTAGGCGATCGTTTAATACTACAGCGTGAATTACTGTCTTAAATTAACGTATTTTATAGAGATAAAATATTTTTATTTGCGATTATTATATATATTTTTATCTTTTATCGTGGGTTTACGTATAGTTTTTAAGAAGATAAAAATACTCAATATTTAGTTATTTATTTTTATACTTTATTCCTTTTGTTTAAATGTACAGTATAAGATAAATATTAATGTAATGAATGAGTGCTCCAGTCAGACAATAATAGGAAAATTTATCAATGTTTACCGTAGATAAAAAATTATGTATTTATGAATAGTGATAAAATCATTGAGTTTATTGATTAACATCGCGTTATCATTATCATAATCATAACTTATTATTATAGTCTACTCATATCGCATCAATGATTATTCCAACGACCTTGGGTACTGAAAAATATTTTTTATGAATGAAACCCGCTCGCGTTTACTCGCACGTGTATTTACTTTTAATTGACATTTTATTTTTGGCCCGATTAATTTATTTATAAAATTTTGTTTATTCCCGATAATTAAGACTGACAATTCAAGTAATTGTAAGTAATAATTTTATGTAATTAAAAGTATAATTATTGTAATTTTTTTTTTTAATTTGACACTTGTAGGTTATGTAACTTGTAATTAAACTGTCAATCGTGAAAGAAGAAATTTATTACCAACAAATGATAACTTGGCTATTTTATTTGTTTCAACTATAGAGGGCAGTAACTATTCAAAAATATGTTCTGGAATGTTTACCAAACGAATTGCGGTAAAAAAGGAAAACAATTTTATGATAAATACACGAGTATTTTAACAAGTAAACAAATTAATATTAATTAATTAATCAGACGGACGTTAGATTTGTTTCACGCTATAAATTCATTGAAAAGATATAATTGGTACGTAAATTAATTGTTTTATTGTAAACTCTAACCTTGAAGTTATTTTTTCTAACAATAAATAAATCGAGGATAAGGTTATAATCCAAGCAAATATATCCTGATAACACGTCATTTATTTATTGATTTTACAATAAGGGATGATATTAATAAAACGCTAAACTGCAATTATGGACTCCGATGATACAAATAGTTCTAAAGTAAGTTCATTATTATTATTATTATTATTACATTTGTCTATATATTTTATTTACTTTTAACTCGCAGCCATGACTTAATCACTTTAGTCATGCGACTTTTCAATCTATTAATTACATGATTTCTTCCCTTTAGAAGCGCAACACACGTTATGCAAGTAAGCAGACCATCGGCACTGACACGGTAACCAAAAAGTTCCTCCAAAACTTCGATCCTCAGAGTAGCGAAAGAGAAAAGCGTAAACTCCATCGTCGTCTTTATCCAGGAAGCAAAAAACATATTTTGTACGACGAAAGCGGTGTTTTTATACAAACTGGGACAAATATATGTGATTGTTTGCAGCCAGATTGCTCCGGTTGTCATTTTCCATGCCCGAAATGCGGCTCGAGCAAGTGTGCTCACGAGTGCAGGTAATTTATTATTCTATTAAATTTTTTTAAATAAAAAAATATGAAAGAAATATTAATATAATTTATTTTTACTTAGGACTCATCGCCGATGGACTTACGATTCAATTGAAAACGAAGGAAGTGATATTATTTTAAAAAATCCAGTTGCAAAAGACTCTTAATTTTTTATTTTAAACTTTTTCATAAATAATGCTTATTGATTTTTTTTAACTTTTTCTCAATTAACTTGATCGAAAATAGATCGATTTTATATAATTCAAAAAGTATTTGAATTTTTAATTAGTTCAAGGTAAATGAAATTAAATTTAAACTCTAGTAGATAAAAATAGTTTTAAGTTTTTAATTTTTAATAATTAAATAAAAAAAAAAAACTTAAGGGATTTATTATATAATTTGATGCATAATTAATTATTATAAATTATAAGTTACGCTTTTAATTCAACGTTGATAAGCTTATACATATATACATAAAATATGATTACAAGTATAGATAGATATATCATACATATATATATATATATATATATGATCCCACAAGTACAGTTACAATTTATGGCACCCACACAAGCCAAAACTAGCATTCGTTTTATCAACTACCACCCTCTCGTAGGCTATTGATTTTTCACGTCTTCGTAGAGCACCACGACTGGTCGCCGAAGCAAGCCAGTGCGCACATATCTGCACACAGCGAGAAACGCGCTCATACCCGGTGTTGTACGTGGTGGGTGTGCTTCAGAAGTCCTCGCGACGTGAAATAATAAAACTTCCAAGACCGTGGAAGGTATTCAAAAAAATTCTAAAAAAACAAGCAAATAATTAAATATTATCGCAGATTGAAATAAAAAAAAAAAAAAAATCAACCACAAGAAGTCACTCGTGTTAACCGAAGTGCCACTGACGATTTAATTGACCAACGAACGACAACAATAAATAATAAGAGGAAAAAATAAACAAGTTTATTACAAAAGTGTGGTAAACTTTTGTAAATAAAAATAAACAGGGCAGCATAGTAGTGCGTCGACCCAGTGGACAGGAGTGGCTGCACTCTTGACTTTTCTCTGTCCTTATCTTTGTTGGTGCTTCCTACGTTGCTCTTAACCTGCAGCAGGAGCAACCCCCACGCACTGCTAAGTCACTGGGGGATATAACCCCCGTAAACTCACTGGAGTATCTAATAGTCTGCTCGCTGGTTACAGATCAGTTGATGACGATCCACGCTGTGCTTTTGCATCAATTTCGACGTAACAGTATCTGCTAAAACGTGGGTGGTGTTTTGCTTTGGTCATCCAGAAAGAGAAGTCCCCAGAGCGTAAAGAGAAGAGACTAGTCTTCGGTCAACTTTACATCAGTACGCCCACGATATTTCAAAGAGTTTTTAAGGATTGTTGTGTGATAAATACTGGCACAGTCGTTTTCGTAATTTCATTCACGTACAACTGCCATCAGTGAGATTTTGGGCTTATCAGCCTTGACACTCTGTCGCGTGTAACTCATATATAAAGATTTAACCCAGGATACAAGAACTAACTTATTATCTGAGATTAATTCTGGTATTTTCTGACATCAAGAGCAAACAAGTCTATTAAATAAAGGTGGGAATAAATATCAGTGGCTATTTTTGTAAAATTTAATTTTTAAAACCAGCTTAAGAATAATTCTCTTGGAGATAATCATTGAATTGTTACGATTTTTAGTGTGCGTCATCTAGATTGTCGTCACCAGCACTAGCATCAACGACAACGACAATCACAACGATTACAACGGCTGCGATTGCGAAGAGAATAACTAGACATATAAGAGGGGAAAAATTATTATAGCTCTATATCTTGATCAACTGACAAGGGGAGAAAATTATTAGGCGGAAAATAAATTAATAAAGTAAAAAAAGAAAAAAAAGTCACAAGTGGTGGTAAGATTGCGACGTGCAGTCTTATGCTCCTGTAGCCTCGTGCGTGAGCACGGGTAATCGAATAAATAACTACCGTATATAAGGGACCCCGTAGACGGGGGTTTAATCAGTCGTGACGGCAGATGTCAGGATGCCGGAACAGAGCAACGACTACAGAGTCGTGGTATTTGGGGCCGGTGGGGTCGGTAAAAGTTCCTTGATATTACGTTTTGTGAAAGGAATTTTTCGAGAATCTTATATACCAACTATCGAAGACACCTATCGACAGGTATTTATTTTTATTTTTACTTTTACTTACCCCAACTAAATCTTATTTTTTTACTCTTACTTACTTTTATAACTTATAGTTTATGATACTGAAAACTACAGACTTTCTTAAACTTTTATCGCTGTAAAAATATTTATAAAATATGGGAAATAATTGTACAAGTATTGGCTTCCAGTTTTATTTCTTCAAAAATTCACTGAGAAAAAATGAACAATGTTGTAATAAGAAAATTTTCAACAATTTAATTTTTTAACTGAAAAAATCCAAATTTTTCGTGTTAAAAAAAAAGTTTTATTGATTTGAATAAAAATTTGCAAGTTGTTTTTCTAAAATTGCTGTGAGAAAAGTTTTTGATTTCTTCAGCTAAGAAATAAAATTATTAAAAATTTCTAACAAATTAATTTCTTTTCACAACAATGTTCATTTTTTTCAAAAGAAATATTTTCTCTCAGCGTAATTCTTGAGAAAAAAAAAAAGTTACTCGAAGAAATAAAATCATAAATGAATTTTATAAATTCAAACTTTTTAAAACTTTAAATTTATTTATCAAAAAGAAAATAACTATCGGACATGTGCTACTTTCAGTATTATTATAAGTTATAACTATTCATTTAAACAAAACTTTTATTTTAACTCAGATATTCATAGCTACGGATAACTTGCTGATTTATATTTATATTTAATGTACTTATGAATTTATTTATGAGACCGTAGAGTGTTAGTGGGAGTAGAAAAAGTTTTGTATATACTTTTTCTCCTCTCGGTTATTCATAAGTTCATGCTACTACACGGGACAGGAAAATATTGAAGGCTGATGACCCGTCGAGGGTCGAAGAACCAAACCCGAGAACAACCATGTACATAGAGATATATAATAGAGTACTATTTAGCTGAAACTACCTACTGTGTACTAGTATTATCAGTATCTGTTTCTAAGCTCTGGCTCTGGCTCTTACTCTAGTATTTCATCGCATTGTCTCTTTAAATTTTGTATAAACAAGTTTGTTAATAATTCAATAGCTGTGAGCGGGTGAATTGGTTTGGGACCTGTGCTGTGTACGTCCATGCGACGTGTGTGCTCTATACATTGTTGTCATCTATTTACTCGAACAAATAACAACACACTTAACTTGTATATCTCGCTCGGATGGATATAAATATTTATTCACTCGATATTTTTATTTATCCCTTCATTTTCACACCTTCGAACAAATAATTTTATTTTAGCCGGTCGAATGAATAAACAAATATAAATCGATAAATATAAATATAAACATCTAATATATTATATTATATTATATTATATCAAAGAAGAATATAATATAAGAAGAAGCTATTTAACTTTTATTTTTCCTCTGTCAACTGAATAAATATACGGGAGATAGAGCTCAGTTGTCTGTTTTTGATCTTCCATTACTGATTTATATTTAAATTTTTTATTTCTTATCTCAAGTTAGCACTTGCCGCTCGATAAAAGAAAAAAATAAAAAAATTAGTCTGTTAAATTCTTGTTTTATCGATCGATCGAACCAATTTATCTATATATACATATCTTCTCTCTATCTCTCGGGATTCCCATGAGGCACATACATCTACTGCAGGATTGTGCAGTTTGTTGTAGTATTATAGACCTAGAACAGAACAGAGAGAAAGATAGAGGAAGAGAACCGGAAATGTAGCCTCGTTTTTACCCGTTCCCTTCACACCATCGCACCCCCGAGCCTTGTACCGCGTTGTTCATCATCTCTTCTCCAGGCAACTCAATTTTCCTCCATCCGAGCACGAGTTGAGTGTGCAAGGTGGTAAAAGCACTCGATGCGAGTTGAATAACAAACCTACAAACAAATATTATAATTTATTATTCATAATTTGTTTTATAATACACGTGACAAATAGATGACAAAATAATAATAATAATAATAATAATAATAATAATAATAATAATAATAATAATAATAATAATACTGATGTGATATAATAAACTTAACATTTAAATGAAAAATGAATGAAAGTAAAAAAAACAAGGAACACAATTATACAATTGTAGGTGATAAGCTGTAATAAAAATATATGCACACTTCAAATAACGGATACAACCGGGTCCCACCAGTTTCCTGCTATGCAGCGGCTTTCGATAAGTAAAGGTCACGCATTCATCCTGGTGTACTCAGTGTGCTCGCGGCAAAGCCTTGAAGAATTACGATCAATCTGGGCGGTGATACGGGAGCTTAAAGGACAGGATATCTCCCAAATTCCGATAATGCTGGTAAGCATGTCAAGTCAACCTAACTAAACTGAAATTAAGTTATATCAGGTTGGCTGGGAGATGAGTATATTGATATTGATATTATATATAAATTGAATTTGATATGGATATAGGTAGATATATAGATCATGAGAAAGAGAAGATACCAGGAGAAGGTAAATGGTGATTAATTGATAATTGATAATTGATAATTGATTATTGACGTTAATGAGAATGATGGAGAAAACCCGAGTGAGATGGCTAGACATGTCGATACCACTTAACTTTGTAATGGCCTCTGACTCTATCCCTAGATGGACTAGACTGCAGACCTAGACTGACGAGAGTAACCCTCTATTCCTGATGCTCTACTCGGTGTATAATATCAATACACGTACACGTATTGATGTCTACTCTTGACTGATTTTTATGTTCAACCCCTGACTCTTTTTTACATGCATTATGTACCCTGTATTATGTACATGTAAATTTATGTACTGCAGATGTATATAAACGTGCTAAAGACAATAGAAATATAAGCCCGAGCTCTTCAAAGAAAGACAAGACTCAACTTTTGTCGTTATAGATAAGTTGGCTTTGTTTCACAGTTTATAACTAGTGTAAACTTTTTTGCATACTCTTGTACTTATAGAATGTACATTTGTTACTATACATTGAAAACATGTTTACGAGACACTTTATTCTTCTGAATTATTAATTATTTTTTTACTTATTTTCGCTTTATGTAATGCTCGTTATCCGGGTAAACCACGCTCTGTTAACTTCCTTTCTACTCTAGTGCATATTTTAGTTTTTTAATCTATCTTTCTTTTTTTTTTATAAATTGTAATTAAACTTGAACGGATAATCTCTTGTTTTGATAGTATAATTAAAATTTTTTCAATTATAAAAATGTAATCCTTTTTAAATTTTTCATCTAAATATTATTATTAAACAATTAATATTTTGTATTTTCATATTAAACGCGATTGATTTTAGTCATAATTTGGTTTACAAATATTTTTACACACTGGGAGAAAAGAAAATAGCAATTGTGAACAAAAATGAATTTGTTAAAAATTTTAAACAATTTTTTTTCTTAACTGAAGAAATAAAAATTTTCCTCACAGTAATCTCATATACAATTTGCGAATTTTCATCCAAAATTGTTTTTTTCCAAATCAATTAATTTTTTTTTTCAACAAGAAAATTACTGTGAAAAAATTTTGATTTTTTCAACTAATAAATAAAATTGTTTAAAATTTTCAACAAATTAATTTCTTGTCACAACAATCCTCTTTTTTTTTTTAAAAGAAATTTTTTCTCTTCATGCACTCCGTTTTTTATTAATAAATATTATTCTCTGGAGAAAAAATATGGCTGACTTAAGAGACTGAATACTCCTGGAATATTATTCAAAATTATTTTTATGATTATTAAGTCGACCTATGAATTTTCAAAAATGAATAATAATGTGTCTTCAACTATTTTTGATCTCGTGATACGTTTAAGGTAATTAATACAAGTCTGCATTATTATTCAGAACGAATAAAATTACTAGAGCCTGTAATTACCTTTTACCATCTATCTTACTGTTATAAACTAATTATTCTTAATTTTCTATTATGTTTTATGAGATTACGAACAAAGTGCTCTAATATATCAAAGCCTGTCCGTTGCGAGATTTTTTTAAATATAAAATTCAAATAAAATTTTTTAATGAATTCATTAACAAAAATGATTAATTTATATTCAAGGTAAAACTTTTCTACACAATCGTTATTTTATAATTAAAGAAAAATCACAATGCAAGTCGATAAAAATTACTGGTTTGATTTTCATTATTTCTTTTAATAGCACAATAACCATACTATATATATATATGTACGCGCTTAATTTTAATGACCTATAGATACAATCCCGAATGGTAATTGAATAATGATTCATGATTATTCGTGATTTTTAGTAATTAAAGGTTAATGAGGTCAGATTGTTGGACGGGAAAAAAACCAGGAGTAATTACAGTTTGAAAATTGAACTCGTTGCTACGTTGAGTAAATGCAAGAGTTGCAGTATACACGGTGAATATCACTGAGCAAACTAAAGTTCTAGCGTACACTGTAAATATTATAGTACGGAGTTATAACTTTTTACAGTTTATGCATCAATACTGAAAAATGTAATAATTGTCAAGTGCACTATAATCTGTACACTTTTCTTTACATAGTAACAAGCTCTATTTTTCTCTCTGATTATTCTTGTTAAATAAATGGATAAAGATTTTGTTAATATAAAATTTATCTGAAAATTTAATTAAATTAAAATTGCTCATTATTTATTAATATTTCATCAAAAGAATAAGAAAAGTTTCTTCTTGATTTTTTGTTGAATTTTTTTACTAAAACTTATTTATTTTTAGTCTAAAAATACAATATGTAAATTTTTTTTATTTTTTTAAAGTAAAAAAAACGATTATTTGTTTTTCAATCTGTTATTTAAAACAAACTTCAGGATTTAAGTAACTGCAATTAAAAATTGTTGAAAAAAAATTATTTGCATTCCTGAAAAGTTTGTCTAATTGTTCACTGTGAATAAAATTGCCCTACTTAGCTTCTACAAAACAAGCAAAAATTGAACGTCGTTGAAGCTAACTAATTAGACGGAAAATCGCATTGAACATGCCAGAATGATTCTTAAAAAAAAAAATCGCCGAGTTTTTATAAAATTCTAATTTGCGATGACATTGATTGTAATTTGTGCTTGCTTAGTTATGAATTTTCATAAAGAAGATAGCTATGATATAAATAAAAAATGAATTATTGTAATAAAAGGTGAAAAATAGATAAATATAATTAGAGTTATCTGAGAGAAATATAAAAAAGTAAATTAGTTATGAATTTAAATGAAGCAATTGAAGGATTACGCTTAGTAGAGTTGATATTTTAAATTAAAAAAGTTTTGTTTTCATTTCACAGTGTACATTAATCCTTAACGCAGTAAAAAGGGATGATACTCTCATGTATATACTCGACAAAAAATTCATCTGAATATTTAAACATCAAATGAATAATAATATCATATTTATTTTTCTTTTCGTACCCCGCTAAAGCACGGCTCAATTATAATAATTAAAAAACAAAAACCAGGTCAAGTCGCTGCAAATGTTGAGGCTTTTTTTCTTGTAAAAAAATATAAAACCCACAGGTTAATATCACCGAGTTGAGGGCACTCTCTCCTTTCATTTTCTCCTCTTCTGTATAATAGTTTATAAAGTCTATTCATTCAATAGCTTTTTGATATCTATATCTATATCTGCAATATATATATATATATATATATATATATAAAATATAAAATATACTTGTCTACATAAATTCAACACAAAAGCTGGTATATATGTAAAGATATTGATGTATACATTGTATGGCGTGATGTTGATTCTTGACAGGTCGGCAACAAGTGTGACGAGAGTGCTTCAGTTCGCGAGGTATCAATGAGTGAAGGTGAAGCTGAGGCCGCTAATTGGGGCTGTGGATTTCTCGAGACCTCCGCCAAGACTAACCACAACGTTAATGCACTCTTCCGTGATCTTCTCAACCTTGAAAGGAATCGCTCGGTGTCATTGCAGCCGATGGAAATCAACAGCGCGATAAGCCTTAAGGAAAAATGTGCCGTTATGTAAAAAAAATTTATTATTAAATTAATATTAGCGATTAACTAATTCATTAATTGAATATTTATTCTATTCTACTTTATTGGCTTTTAAATATTTATAAAATTTATAACAGCCTAGGCCATGCCATTTTATTATTTATTAATTATTACTCAAAAATATCATGTTTGTATCAAAAACCTCAGGTCGTAAACAAATTTTTTATTTATATAGTTTTTGTTTTCATTTTTTTCGCAAAAATTAATTTAAAAAAAAATTTACTTAATTCAAGAGAAGAAATGTTGAATTTAAAATAGTATTTTGAAGAATTATTTTATTTAAGTAAAACTAATGAAATTGTAAATTTGATTACATATCACGTAATATTTCTATAATTCGTACAAAAAATTACATTATTAGAAGGAAAATTTAATAAAACATGAAACTGCAATATTCCGTATTTAAAATAAAAAACTTTTTGCTCAGCGTCAAACTTTTACAATTTTGTTTGCAAAACGCTGAGTTACTATTCGGAAATGTAATAAATGCTCAATGAACTGTCAATAATCCCTGATTTTTTTTTTCATGTTGTACCAAACAGAAAAATTTTTGATACAAGTAAAATGAATTTAAATCATGGAAATTTTCTAGTTCAAAAACTTTTTTGGTTGATTCAAAGAAATTCTCCAAGGTAATCTTCTTAATTCAAGATTTTTTTCCATAAATCAAGTAAATTTTTTAAAAAGGAAAATTATTTTTTTTTTTTTATATCTACAATTTATAAGCACTCAATGAACGAACGAATGTTTTCATTAATTAATTGTTTTATAAAAATACCTGGAAGGTTCTGTTGTCATTTCCATCGATATTTTATTATTTTTATCCAGATGCACATGATAAAATATTACGCGGCCTTTTCTATTGTTAACACGAATATAGAACAAAAGCTTGATATCGTTTACGATCTGGTGGCATCGGCATACAAAAATAATAAAATAATAAAAAAAAAAAAGTAAAACAAAACGAATCGGACGACACACGACTTAACCGTCCGTTATGTAATTGTTAAACTGATGATATTGATAGAGTAAACTCCACCGAAAATTGTTTTTATTGAATTGCGCTTCTATTTCGAATGACGACAACACAATGGTCTGTAGATTTTATTGTTACAAGTTATAGTAGCAGCATAAAGTATTACGTATATAAATAATAGTAAGAAATTTTTGTTTTTATTTATAGTCAGAGACCAATTTACAATTTAACGCACGAGTTACTTTAAATAATTGAATATAATAAATTTTATCAGTTTTGTGTCGCTCGATTTAAAATATTTGAATATTTAAACTAAATAAATTAGTGCGATGAAATAATTTAAAAAATTAATAATAATTAATTGAATAAAAATAATTTATTAGGAAAAATATTAAATAGATGCAGTGTAGATCGCTCGATAAAATAATTATTTTAGAAAAATAGATGAGTATATTAATAAATTATTTTGAATTAATCCATTGAGATGATTGAAAAATAATAACGCCAGTTGTAAACACAACGCACGACAACTCAGACTTAATTTATATATTTCATAGCAATTATCTCGATAGCAATTCAATTTACAATATTGTATTAAATTTTATTGATTTCTGAAATTCAATTAATATGTTCAAGCACATACATAATCCATAATCATAATAAGAATAATATTAATATTAATATTAATTATCATAAATATTATAAATAAATAACGCTAATAGTAAATGATTAATAATTGTAATAATAATTTATGAATAAATAATAAATATATCATACACAACGATAACGAACGTTTTATAAACGCACAAATAAATACACAAGACGATAATTGTTGAGTAACTGTGATTATTAAAAAATATATTTAAGTCTGAGTCGTCGATTTAATTTATTTTTTTATTGTAATAATCTGATTTATATTTTACTATCTTTATAATTTATTTTTAACCAAAGCAACTGGCATAAGTATGAAAATTCAATAAGAGCTTTTAATGCAATATCGGCTGCTTAATGATTATTATGCAGTTTTATTTTTTATCCGTGCTGAGAATTAATAATTATTTAAATAAATATTATTGATACGATAAATGTTGTTGCGGTGAATATAATTAATAAAAAAAAAAAAAAACAAACAATTGTTATGAGATTGGTTTTTGTTGAATAGTTGTAAGATTTTTGTAATGATGCTATTAGAATTTATTGCGTAAATTATTGAATAACGCTGTTTTAAAGAATGAGATCTTTTTGTGTGTGTGTGTGTGTGTGTCTGTGAGTGTGTGTGCTAGAATTTAAAGATATGTTTTTTTTTTTTAAGAAAACTTGTGTGTATTTTTTTTGAAAAATGTTTACCAAAAAAATATAATACAGTTAATATTTCTTCTATAATTAATTATTTAGAAATTTAAAAAATTTATTGGGCAATGTTTAAAAATTTTGTAAAAATTAGTCTTTATAAAAATCAATTTCTTCTTTAATAAAATGAATATTGTGGTGATAGAGTGAGCGATAGTAAATAACATAAAAGAGTCATAGTAATTGATGCGATACCTAGTGATTCAAGTAGTAAATATTATTCACAGATCATTGAATCATAAAATATAAATGTACATTAAAGAATGTATTTCTCTCGACTTTCTCATTAAGCAGTACATACATTCTACTGAATATAATTTACAAAGTACTTGTCTAAAAATAATTGTAAATCATTTTTTTAAGTTCAAAAAATTTATTGCATATACTTAAAGTCAGTGATGCAGTAAAATAATAATTTACATGAAAGAAGATCAAAGTAAAATTTAAATTAAACCTAAGTGAAGAACCATCAGCGTAAAATTTAATATTTTTTTTCTTCAAGCTTTCTTTGTTCGAATGAAATGGTAATAAATGGAAAAAAAGTATTGTAGAGTAAAATGAAAAAAGCAGAAACGTATTAAAGTTGAATTGAGTAAAGTTTGTGCAATGAATAAAAGTAGTTTCAAGAGCAACTTTTCTCTTGGCTTTTAAATTGAAACAGTTGTATTATCAATGATAATACTCGTTCTGTTTTTTTTTTATTCGTTTAGTGTTTTGTTATAGTTTATTATTTTATAATTGTAATTGTACATACTATAATTGTTAAATACTTGTTTATTATTTTTTTAATAAGTTAGGCAATTAAATTAAAAGTCAAATGATAAATTCGCTAGTGAGAAAGTCGAAGCATTTAAAACTTGAAGCATATCGATGACAATGAATTATCGATTATCGACTAAACAAACACTTGGCATATCCGTGGTAGATGATTGTAGACAATTAATTTTTAAAATAATAAACTTACACATATATTACACTGGAAGTATTATAAAAATTTAAATACCGCGTACTCATCGCGTATTACTTATTGATACATGTATTTATAGCGTCTACTTATATGTATGTATTAATATTAATAGTAATAATTAATGATAATAGTGATTAAATAAATAATAAAAAGTAATTAAACATAAAATCGTAAATATATTTTTGTGTGATTTTATTTTTGAAATTGAAGATTATTATTTAAATAAATTATCAAAAGAATATGATATTGAGGGAAGAAATGATAAATATATATATAATATATCGGCGCGTTAAATAAGTGAAGAAGAAATATTGAGAAAGAAAAATGAGAAAGTAAAAATAAAAAAAAAGAAGAAATATAATATGTTTATTTTGTTTGGTATTATCTATAGTTAATATAAATAATTAATTAAATACATATCTATTGGGTATTCTGCAACAAGATTAATGATAATGACCATTAATACGTGATATAATAAAATGTTTAAATTAATTTTATTGGGTGTAAGTCGATTAAAGAATAAGAATGTGTAGTGTGAATAAATAAACGATTAAGCAGAAGCAATTAAAATACATGAAATTAAATGTAAAATGTGTAATGATGTATAAATTTCTGATTTTTCGGGGCCAATTGGAGTGAGGTGAGCGTGATTCACGCGTTAAATTTGTTGTTGAGCGCGCCGAATTTTTTTCTTTTTTCACTTATTGTTTATTTTGTGGGTAAATATGCAAAAGTGTTGTGAAAATAAAATTATCCTAATGATTTAATTACTGTTTTTATTCGATATTATTCAACTGGAAGATATTTTTGTTCAAAATTACTATTTACATTTTTTTGTCCATTAAAATGTGTAAGACATAATTTATTAAAAATTGAAAAATTCAGATTGTGTAATAATATTTTTTTATTGCCTTATTTGATAAAACCTTATTTGGCCGAGATAAGAAACCAATAACCCTAAAAATTTATCAGTATAAAAAAATTCAATTGCATTTTAGCAATAAATATTTATTCTCATTTAAAACCAGAGTAAAAAAGCTATTATAAAAAAAAAAAAAAAAAAAAGTCTCTAAAGTCATAATAAAACTTTAATAGCCTGAAATGAATCTCAACTTCTGCATATTTACTTTTTTCAGCATTTGAAATAAAAAATAAAATTTAATGACTTCAGTCCGTCTAGTGATACAGCAACGTGATTTTAAAAATTGAAATATCCTCGTTAATAGAAATAGCGATAATAAAAATTAGAAAAAAAAAAAAAATAACAGTTAAAAAGTAATTATATCTCAGAGTCCAAGGCCCATGAGAGTTAATTTTACTTTAAAGCGTATGTAAAAGGTTTTCTTGGTAAATATTTAACGGTAGGACGACTCTCAAACGACCCTCATTATATCCTGCATGTGGTTATAGTATGTACCGTAGAGTAGTGGGTTGAGAAGCTTAGCAAACTTGTCTATGACATTTGTATGCCACAAGATTACAGATTAGTTCTCTACTCTCCAAGAACTCGTTAAATTTTCACAGTATTTTTTATTATTTCTTCTTTTACTTTTACTTTGTACCATCGGGTCAATAGACTAAAGTAATCATTAATTATTTTATTTTATTCTCTTTATTCACCCAGTGAATTAACGTTTAAAAATAATAGTAATAATAATAATAATAATAATAATTCTCTTACAAATTACCGTAACTTTGAATCAAAGCTGATTGTCAGATCGTATTGATTAACATAAATAAGCTTCACAGCTTTATTACGTTCTATATTACATTTTTTATATAAATTTAATCAACAATAATATTTATTATTGTCATATTTTATTGATTTAATTCAAATAACTAATTAAACAATGCCTGAATAATTATAATACTTAATACTAATAATAATAACAATGCATAATAATCATGATTATAGAGATGCGTGTTTGTGACACTAAAACAAAAGGGTAAAAATGTTATTCAGACTCTCGTTACTTTTATTCATTGTTTGAAGAGAAAATTTAAAAATAAAATGGTATGAAAGTGTAATTCAAATGTTAAATTTTTAATGATGATGATGATAATGATGACAGTGACGAGAGTAGTAAAATTTGAAGGGACGAAACACGAGGAATAAAAGGAACCACATATCAAGACAGCAACTAAGTAATTTTTGAAATTGCAAATTAGGTCTATTGTACAATATTTGATGCATGGATATTGTCAGTAATGAAATAATTCAAATTAGAAGAAATAATAAAAAAATAAATGAAGATGTGCTTGATCGAGCGATCAATTATTTATGAAAAATAGAAAAAAATTGTTCATTTAAAATACAATATTTTAAATTGTTGTAATAACTTGCTAAATTTTAGATTATTTATCTCGTAATTGAAATTGTAGAAATTTTAAAACGTAAATTAAAATAATAATTAAAAGTTATGTTTTTTAATAATTATATATTATTTAAAATATTTGTAGAGAATATATATATATGTAAGTTTTTTCTCTGTACTGACTGGAAAAATAGTTTTTTCTCAACTGACATAATTTATTTAATAATGTTATATTTAAAGTATATACGAGAATAACATCTGTACTCGAAAGAAATTTAATAATAATAATAATACAATAATATCTTATACGAATAAAATGGGTTTTATTCTACCCAGAGTATTCCATTTTTTTATTTCTTCTATTTATTTGAGAAACCCCATAAGTCAAAAATACTAACATTTTCAGGAAAAGCAAAAAACATTTTTCTCGGTTAAGTTTGCATTAACATCATGAACCAATGATGAATAATAATAATATTAGTATCCCTAAAAGATATTCGAGCATTAAAAAATTTAATTGTTAATTACTACTATTCATAATAATAATTTGAAGTTGATTGACTTATGGGGCCTTCTCACCAAAACGAACAAAATAGTAATAAAATCTCATTAATTTATCAATTTTTCTCCATCAATCGTTTATTATATTTATAAAATAAAGTACAAAATATTTATTGGAACTACAATTAAGGAAAATTATAATAAATCATCTATTTTTTAATTCAAATTAGAGAACTAAGAGTCAACAATAAAACAATATTTTAATTTATCACAATCTAACTTTATAAAACTAAAATTGCAAAAATTATTGAAATCAAAGTATTTAACAGTAAATATAATGTATTTTTACTTGGTTATGATTAATTTCAGAATTTAAATCGGTTAAACCAAAGTCAACAATAAAAACATTTTTAATTTTAATCCATCAAATGAATATTGTAAAACTCCTTAAAATTTAAGTATTTAATCAATTATTTTAAAATTGAAGTCAGTGAAATCACATAAAAAAATAAAACAATAATATAATTTAGTTTTTTTAAACTCATACTGCGAAAATGATTAAAATTTAAGTATTTTGCATTGAACTGAATTTTTTCTACTCAGAAAAAGTTTTTCTGAAAAAAAAAAAGCAAAAAGAAATTCATTTTTTGAATTTTGAAACTGGATGTTTATTCGAAAAACCCCATAAGTCAGTGACTTATAGGGTTTCTCAACTAAACGAGATTTATATTGACCGATTGATTAGGTCTTGAACACAGATTTAATATTTTTTGGTGCTAGTATAAGTGAGGGGAAATTCAAAGAACCGGAAAATAAAATAAACCCGATTTTGAAAAAAATATGATTAACGATTCATTTATTTTCGTTGATAATTAAATTTATAGTATACACTGATAGAAGGATTTGTTTATAGTTAAAAAGATTTGTTAATATTTAACAAATCATTTATTAGAGACCACTTATTAGTCCTTAACAAATATTTTTTAGTATTTAAAAAGATTTATTAATATTTAATAAATGAATATCAGATTTACACCGAAAAAAGTAAACTGTAATATTCACTTGGATTCCGGTTAATTTTTATAGTTTCAAACAGTAAAGCGGACATCGGGGTGGCAAAAATATAAATATTACAAAACTTAATGTAAAAAGTATAAAAGCCACAATTTATAATTTAATATCCAAAATAAGTGGTTAGTAGCTGTCACTATAGTAAATAACGACTCTTTCATCTTAAAAAATTACAGTTTCAAACAGTAAAAATTGCCATTTCAATATATAGTTCATATTATGAGGAGAAAGAAAACTCAGATAAAAGACAAGGGGGTCTCACTCTGGGAGAATTTAACATTTGAAACAGTAAAAATTATACTTTTAAAATATACATTTTACCAGTCCAAGCAAGTCAATAATTACAGTTTGATTTTTAGCGTTGCGTTTAAAATTTACCATTTTACTTTGTAAATATTGACGATGCTTGTATTAGAAATTTACTAACTTTATTTTATACTTTTTACATATATCATAAGATCATTTTTTAGGTACGAAATGATAAATATCAAAGTCTGAATTCTTAATTATTATACTTAAACATTTTAGACATTTACATAGCGAATATTACTGTTTGAAATATTTATTAATATTTAATAAATGAATGTCAGATTTACAAATAACAATTCATTTTAAATACTAAGAAATATTTGTTTTATACTAAAAAGTGATCTCTAATAAATGATTTGTTAACTATTAATTTAATAAATATTATTTAATACAAATAAATCCTTCTATCAGTGTACCAACAGATAAAACAGCAATAACAATATAACCACAAAGATAAAGTGTATAATAGAAACTCAAAAGTTAAACTATGTGGTATTTACTTTGGGGATTAGATATCCATTCACGTAACACATAAATCCGTTAAATACAGTAGTGACACGCGTACCAGAAGAATAAGAAACGAGCAATGAGGAGGAAGAAGAAGAAGAAGAAGAAGTGGTACAAGAAAGAAGAAAAACAGTGGTGTATAATCCTACTATGGTAGGAGTGGCGTCTAGAGTAAACAGAATAGAACCAATCGAGTATAAAGGGTGGTCCAGCTGATGTTTGTCTTTTAACCGAGTCTGGAGGGATGCTGAAGTCACGTTGGTCGACACCCTCGGTGAATCCACGAGGATATACACAGCCAATAGTAATCTTCAATTGCCGGTTAATACTTTACGAGGTAAGCTGCGATAAAATAATGCTCTTCAGTCAATGATTAAGTCTCTGATCTTGTTGAAGAGTTGTTTAGTTACTATAACATTTCTTCGCTAAGTACAGTCAGTAATAATAATAATAATAATAATAATAATAATAATAATAATAACAAAGGTTAGTTGTTACCTTTTTCTGATCCACAGCTGGTGTTTTAGTTAAGCAATCACGAGTTGTAGTGGTAGTTGGTGGCAACAGTAAAGAAGAAAAGAACTGTGATATGTTGAGAGGAAAGTCCACGAAGAAAGATCATGATGAAGAGGATGGTAAACAAAGACGGCCCAAGTGCGCTCGTTGCAGAAATCATGGACTCATCTCCTGGTTGAGAGGACATAAAAGAGAGTGTCGTTATAAAGAATGTCTTTGTCCAAAGTGTTCTCTTATTGCTGAAAGACAACGTGTTATGGCTGCTCAGGTAATATTTTCTTTTTTAATTAAAATTATTATATTTTTATTTATTCCGAACGTTTTATCAAAATTGCTTTTATAATGAAGCAAGTAGATTTAAAATCATTTTTTTTTTCTTGAGGAGTAAATTAATTTTTAAAATCTAAATTTGTAGAAAATTAATAAAATTTTTAAATATTTTTTTTTTTTAATATATTTCATTGAAAAAAATTGAAAAATTCTTAACCAATGTTAATGACAAATATATTTTAACGAATCTTTAAAATATGAATCTATGGCAATTAAAATTGTCACCAATAAAATTATTATTCAAAAATTAATCACCAATATGATCAAATATCAATAATAAGTTTATGAATCACTCTAGTATTAATAATAATTGTTTAAAAAAAAAAAAAATTACAAGCGGGTATCAATTTAAAGATGTTGGTACGTTTTCAGCAATTCACTTGACTTGTAAAAAATGTACAAGAGTTTCTCTTAGAGTGACATTATTTTCTCGAGGTAGCAGCTCTAGCTGTGTTTTTGGGTGTCTGTGCTGTTCTTCTCTGTACTGTCAGCACTCTCAAGTAGAATCCATTAACGCCCGGTGTTACGTTTCATCAGTGTGTTTGTACTGGCATTACGACACTCGATCCTGAGTCTACATCATAGCTTTCAATCCGTTCCAGTTCGTCCCATCAACTCGAGCACTATGAGTATGACACCCTCTAATACAGAGATCCACACTAAAATTCACATCATACACTTGAGAAAGTATTTATGTGTGCATTTAAATCTGGAACTGTCAATATAAAAGCTTATAGCTCTGCAATTTTATAAAATATCAACATCACACGATGATTGATGTTCTTTTAAATTAAATTCATTTATGCGTGTGTCAATACCAGAACCAGGGTATCTACTTGATAGACATTGATAACTTACCTCGGTTTTAATTACGAACTAATTTCATTGTTTTATAATCGTCATACTTCGGGTGAATAAACCCATGTAACATTGTTATAATTGATCGTCAATTATTATGTTATAAATATATACTGCTCACAGCAGAGATTTTAATTCACAAAATTGATATCAATGAAAAAATTTTTACTGGAAATAATTAATGAAAAAAATTCAATTGAAAAAAAAAAAAGATATAAATAAAAATAATTTTGCATCATTGCGTCAAAAAATTTTGTGTTAAAAATTAATAAGTAATGATTAACTGCTAAAAATTACCATTTCAAACAGTAAAATCGTGATTTTACTATTCACTTTATAATATTTACCATTTAAACGTTACAATTTACTCTTTACATGGGAAAAAATACTATTTCAAACAGTAATATTCGTTATGTAAATGTCTAAAATGTTGAAGTATAATAATTAAGGATTAAGACTTTGATATTTATCATTTCGTACCTAAAAAATGATCTTATGATATATGTAAAAAGTATAAAATAAAGTTAGTAAATTTCTAATACAAGCATCGTCAATATTTACAAAGTAAAATGGTAAATTTTAAACGCAACGCTAAAAATCAAACTGTAATTATTGATTTGCTTGGACTGGTAAAATGTATATTTTAAAAGTATAATTTTTACTGTTTCAAATGTTAAATTCTCCCAGAGTGAGACCCCCTTGTCTTTCATTTGAGTTTTCCTTCTCCTCATAATATGGACTATATATTGAAATGGCAATTTTTACTGTTTGAAACTGTAATTTTTTAAGATGAAAGAGTCGTTATATTTACTATAGTGACAGCTACTAACCACTTATTTTGGATATTAAATTATAAATTGTGGCTTTTATACTTTTTACATTAAGTTTTGTAATATTTATATTTTTGCCACCCCGATGTCCGCTTTACTGTTTAAAACTATAAAAATTAACCGGAATCCAAGTGAATATTACAGTTTACTTTTTTCCGTGCAGAATAAATGTTAAATTTACACATAAAAGTGTTAAATATTTAACATAAAAATTTTTAACTCTAAGTTTTTTGACGCAAAATTTTTTACTGTGTACAGACATGAAAATTAAAATTTTTCTAATTTTGTCCATGACTTTTAAGCAAATGAACCTTTGAAATCTATACTTTTGAATTTCCCAAACTTTTCTTTGCTTCTTTTAAAATAAATATTTATCTTTCGCCGGATAATGCTACTTGATATTTTTTTTCCTCATATTCGTTAAATAAAACTCTCGTAATGTTATTGAGCTTGAAACAATATTTAACGGGTGGTCTTTCACTAGCATAATAATAACATTAATAATACAGACGAGCAAATGTGTCCAAATGTGTATCTCCATCAAAATGTTGACGTACAGTAAGATGTCATGCTGTGAAAATATACGTATATATTTTTACATACATAACATTAGTAGTAAATGTACATCTATATTATATATAAAATCCATACGCGGATTGCGGATATCATACATGTATGTATACATTTGAGTATCGAGGCCATGACAAGTCCATTTACAGAATAGGATCAAGAGGATCGATGTCATGAAAGCGAACTGAAATAGATTTTCAAGATAGCTTGATAGTCTTTACTACTCTTCACTCTTCTATTTGGGCTATACGGGCTCGGAGAAGCGGAAGATCACTTTATTGAAATCGAACGATAGCGTAAATAGACTGAGGGAAAAATAATAAAGATACCGCTGTGATAGATAGAGATACATACAAAAATAAAAAATATAACATTAAATGAGAAGATTCATTTTTGTGGATTGCAGGTTGCATTGAAACGACAGCAGGCTGCTGAGGATGCGATAGCTTTGAGCATGGCTAAAGTTGCAACCGGACAGAAACTGGATCGTCTACCACCTGGAAAAATCTTCGGCATGGCTGTAACTGAGCCTAATTCTCAAATATCTTCACACGTTAAGCCTGCTCCAGATGACGATCCTGATGTTGATGTTGATGATCCTGTAGACGCTAAGGAGTCTTCCGAGTCAGAGGGTGCTGGATCTGCCAAAGAAAATCAAGTTGACCTTAAATTAAATTCACTCGTAAGAATTTTTTTAAAACATGTACATAGAAAAAAAGGTTCACTTGAGCCAAGAAAATATTTTTCTTCTTAATTATTTTCTTGAGCCAAAAAAAATTTTTTTTTGACACAAGAAATTTCACTTATTCCAACAAAATTAATTCTCTTGCTTTAAGAAATACGTATCTTGATCCAAGAAAATTTATTTAAGTCAAGAAAATCTTCTTGTTTTGAGAAAACTCAACCTTTTGCTTCAAAAAATTAAATATCTCGATAGAAGTAAATTTTGATTAATATTTTTATTGATTATCATGTCAAATGGGAAAATCAAATAATATTGAATCATTTTCTTTCATTCAATATGTATAATTGCACGCTAAAATAATATAAAATGAGTATCAAATATTCAAGAGAAAAATTTTCTCAAGGTAAGAAAATTTTTTTCTCCGCTGAAGTAGGTAGACCCATATAGCAAACTTTTTCAAGGCTTGAGCAAATCTGGTCTCAATTTCGATAGTTGTTAGTGTCTTTTTCTACCTATGGGTCTTGCTCCAGATACTTGTAGCAAATTCAATTCACAAGCCTTGTACAAGAACTTTGGGCCAGATTATAGCTCAAGTCTTGAGAAAGACTGACACCAGAAGCATGCTAAACCTCCTATATTTACTATAGAATCAGTGGATTTCTGAGAATTACGGATCTTGAGCAAATCTTGAGCAAGTCATGGGTAAGTCTTTGTTGTGAGTTTCTGGTACAAAAAATGCGTAAGAAAGTTTTTCAATGGACCTTCCTTTAGACTTGTCTCATATTCTTGCACAAGATGTCTTGAGCTAGTTACATATAAATCTTGAACCATGTCTTTTTAAATAAATTTGAGCAAGACCCATACGTAGAAAAAGACACTAGCAACTAGGGGTTTTGCTCAAGACGCTGGCACCAAAATCTTGCTCAAGCACATGTTACTTGGGGATCTGCTTCGCTAAAGTATCTAAAAATCTTGATCAAATATAATAATTTATTGTATCAAGTATTTATCCCCCACGGAAAAAGTATATATTCTGGAATATATTCTGAAATATATTCCAGAATATATCCGAGAATATATTCCGAGTATACCCCGTTTTGCCCGAGGAATATATTCCAGAATATATACTAGAATATATTTCAGAATATATTCCAGAATATATACTAAAATATATACTTTTTCCGTGGGGGATGATAATTTGAATTAAGAAAAAATGACTTCCACCAAGGATAGAATTTCAAAAAAAATTTTTACTTCGGCCAACACAACTTCGGTCTTTCTTCAGGCACCCGAAAATTTTCTTGAACCAAGAATTTTGTTCTCCAGTCAAGAAATTTTTCTTTCTGTGTACAGTGGACTTTCGATAACTCGAAATTCAAGGGAAGTGATAAAAACTTCGAGTTTTTTACTTAATAAGATGTTCAAAATTTGCAAGTAGACCAAAAAAAATAAGAAAACACTTGATTCGCAAGAAAATAACTTAAAGAGAAAGTATACATTACAATATAAGAAGCATTGAACATTCCTATAGTAATTTAGATTTGATTGCCATAAGCTTGGAAAGTTCGGAGAAAAACGTCTTTATATTTTACTAACTTCGACTTAGGGCCAGTTTTTTAACCCCGAGTTTAAGTATTTTATCATTGTGAATATATCTATATATTATAGATATATAGGTATATTCACAATGATAAAATACTTAAACCCGGGGTTGAAAAACTGGCCCTTATAGAGTTTTACTTTTAAAATTTGAATTACAGTGTATATAAATATCCCTTATCGATATTGGAAGGGAAATGATACTAAGTTCAAGTTACAGAGTCTAAATAATTCAAGATATAGCGTATTTAAGAGTTCAGCGAAAGGGAATACAAATTTTTTTCGAGTTATTGATTAAGATTTCGACTTGACAAGATTCGAGTTACCGAGAATCCACTGTATATTAAAACTTACCAAACTTTTCATACCTTATAATTAATGATAAATATTCTTAAATTAGGACAAGAAGAAAACCAGCATATTCAATGCCACGGATAAGAATGACCCCGAGGATAAAAGTCCCAAAGAATCACCGGCGATTTCTCAGACATCAGTAGAAACTCTTGCGCGACTGTTTCCCAGCACAAAGTTATCTGTTCTTCAACTGGTTCTTCAAAGATGTGGCCAGGACTTGTTAAAAGCCATCGAGTACTTTGCTAATGACAGTAGCGTGTGTTCTACTTCGGCATTCCGACCACTGCAAAGCTCATCGTCAGATGTGAGAACCACCACCGATTATCCTAGTGTCTTTGCACTGCCTCCAGTCTACTCAAACTTTTCGCGAAATTTCTACCACGACAACTATTGTCTTCTTAATATATTGCCAGATTCGACGTTGTCCCGCAGCAGCGAGCTGTCAAGAGTTATCAACCCGCTCGAGCAAGACAGCAGTGTCGCTTTTAATGTTCAGTACAACAATTACTTCAATGCTGACATTCAGCAACAGTTACGTGAGCACACATCCAGGTCAACTGGATTGCTTCATTTACCTCCAGTGATACCTGGTGTTCCTTGTGTTACTCCCAATTGTACTCAATGTTACAAATTTCTATGATAGTTTATTATTTTTTTTTATTTATTATTATTTTTTCTATAATATATGTTATTAATATTATTTTTAGTAATTATTATATTTACAGTTGTAGTTTGGCGTGCAATTAAATTACAGCTTAAAAAGGATACTTACAGTCTTTGTTACTTATTATTTAAGTAATCTTCATTGAAGAACTAAATCAATACATTTGGTATTTATCACAAATTTTTTTTACATTGTTATTATTGAAAATTATCTGTTTTTTTTTTTTTTTATCATTTATAGCACAGTAGAGTTAATAGTCTGTAATAAATTGAGTTAAGAAGATTCAATTGGAAATACAAATAGAATAGGTATCTTCAACACTTATCCTGCGGCAATCGGTGGTTTGTTGAATTAGAAAAACTTTGCTTACTTTGGGTTCTATTTTACGGGTAAAGAAAAATACCCAAGTTAAGTTACCCTTCCAGGCATTTATACTATCTCAACTTTTCTCTATTTTTTATTTTATATATCCGTGGTTGGAATTATTAACCACACGTGAAACTTGACACCGCCTCGAGATATCACCTTCTGTTTTTTTAACAGCTTCTTTGAGTTGAATAAGATAAAGAAAATCTTTTCCGAGGGTTCAGAATTTATTATTATTATTATTATTTTTATATTATACTAGTACGTGATACCAGATAAGTATTGTTTCTTATTATCATTTTAATTTACTGTTTCCAAAACTCTGTTCACATACAATAATACTAAAGTTAGCCGACGTTTCTAATTTTTTTTTTTTTTTTTCCATTAATTAAATTGGAACAAAAATATATTTTTAAAAAATTGCACTTAATGTTTTTCAAGTTTTTTACAAATGAAATTTTTTTTCTTATTTTTTTGTAATAATTTAAAAAAAAAGAAAAAATGATTAAATCTCGGCTAACTTAATTTTCATTCACATACTTATATGAAAATTAAATTAGCCGACAATTTGAAAATTTTTATAATTTATTTTATTGATAAATAATTAAACAAAAATTTTTACATGTAAAAAATTTTAAAAATTATACGTGGAATTTTTTTAAAATAGTTTGTTAGTTCTAATTTTTAATTAATAAAAAAATCAAAAATTCTTGAGTGTTGGTTAACTTAATTTTCAACACATACTTACATTTAAAAAATTTCTGTAAAATAAAATGTAGCTTTAATTAAATTAAAAGCAATAATTACATTTATTACGTACATACCTAAATAAGTTTTTTTTTTTTAAGATTTATAAAATAGAATTATGTTCCTAATTAAAAGGCAGAATTATTTATTGATAAAACTCTAAATTAAAAATAAAAAGAAGAAAATAATAATTTGATCTCTATTATTGCTCACTTTCTTATCAATGCACAATATTTTGTTATCATGCAATATTGGCGCCACATGTCTTTTCTTAAAGTTACAAGTGATTCTCAACCTCTGGTGAAAAAATATGAAAACACTGCTGACATTCTTCTTGATTTCAACCCACGTGGTTAGCTCATAAGTGTTTTTAGTAACATAAGTTATTTAAAAATGTGAAAAAATGTTTATTTGTATATTAATTAATTGATGTTGTATATTAATTAATTTTGGAGTGTTTATTTACTAACGAATAATTAGAAAAAAATTATTAGGTCCAGACAAAATTGATTGAGTGTAATTGTTAAAATTTTTTTTTGGTTACTTAGTGGAACTGAAGTACTTTGAATGTTTACAGTTAACAGTGTAAATTATTCATCTGTTTAAATAATTAAACCAATAATTTTAATGAGACGCTTGTTATTATAAATAAAAAAAAAAATATAATAATAATGACTAAAAAACGTTACAATGCGATTGCACGCACAAATCCAACTGTAGAAATTGACAATTCAGTTAAAAAGGTAATTTATTATAAAAATGTTATTTTAAAAAGAAATATTTAATTATTATTTTCTTTTTTTACAGATTCAGGTTGAAAATGGAAGCTCTAAAGCAACTTATGATGCATGTAATGAATTTGCTATTCCAGCAGAAAAAAGAAAAACTAAAAAAATCGACAAGAAAAAAACAGTCACACCGTTTCTATCTAAGAAACGTAGAAAACAGCTGGAAAAAATTGTTGAACGTAAAGAAAAAAAGCTACAGGTAATTATTTATTTATTGCAAAAGAATGCTGATCGGCAGTATACATTAATAGTAACAATAAAATATTTTAAGTGATATTTTAATTTAATATAAATATAAATAATGAGAATAAAGCTAAAAATAAAATTGGTAATATTGTGAATGTATTAGTTATTTAGTATTGTATTTTTGATCTTAGTTATGAAAGTAGATTATTTATATCTATTCTTTTAATTATTGGATGATAATTTTTTAAATTGTATTTTTGTAGAGAGCTGATTTATTGAAAAACTTAGCAGAAGTTCAAGCATCACCTGGAGAGCTTGAGCAGTATATGTCAATTACGGCAATCCAAACAAAAGGACTTAAAAGACACTTTCAAGAACTCAATGCTCCTTCATCAAAAACTAAAGACAGAATTAATATTTTAGAAGAAGCAAAATCAATTCCGAATGCCATAAAGGGTAGTAAGAAAAGACGTATGGAATTATTAGGTAGTGAATTAAAACAACAAGCATCATCCGATCCTAATATTGTTGGTTTTGAGGTAACTATTTTATAAATTATTTTATAAATTACTATATTATTGAAAAGAGAATTTAGTTACAATTTTAATACATGTTTAGTCTTTAAAAATTTTATTTATTTAAAGATAACCAATTTTTTTTAATAAATATTTTAGGAAGAAACTGACAGTGATGAATCCAGCGATGATGAAAATATTGAAGCAGAAGAAGAAATAAAAGAAGAAGAAATTAGCGAAAAAATAGATCCAGAAATTCCAATTGTGGAGAAAATTATTGATAAAAATATCAATACAGCTAAAATTAAAAGTGATGAAAAATCTATAGAAGATAAAACCAAGCCAACTAAGCCCGTGAAAATAATCTACGAAACGATAGACCGTAAGCCAGCAGTTTTCGTTCCTGTAGATCGTAAACCAGAAATACAAGAGGAGCGATTAAAACTTCCTGTACTAGAAGAAGAGCAGCGTATAGTCGAGGCAATAAACGAAAATAACGTTGTAATAATAACTGGTGAAACAGGAAGTGGTAAAACAACGCAAGTACCGCAATTTTTGTACGAAGCTGGGTATGCTAGAACCAAAATGATCGGTATAACTGAACCGAGAAGAGTCGCTGCCATGTCTATGAGTAAGCGTGTCGGTGAAGAAATGAATTTGGGGACTAATATAGTCTCATATTTAATAAGATTCGAGGGTAATGTTACGCCTGAAACTAAAATAAAGTTCATGACTGACGGTGTTTTAATGAAGGAAGTTCAGAATGATTTTCTGCTAACCAAATACTCTGTTATTATTTTGGACGAAGCTCACGAGCGCAGCGTTTATACCGATATCCTTATTGGTTTATTATCGCGAATTGTACGTTTAAGGGAAAAAAAGGGCGATCCATTAAAAATAATAATCATGTCGGCTACATTGCGTGTCGCAGATTTTGTCGATAATCCAAGACTTTTTAAAGTTAAACCTCCGGTTATTAATGTCAAAGCACGGCAATTTGACGTTCAAATACACTTTGAAAGAAGAACTAGTCATAATTACGTGCAAGATGCAGTCAAAAAAGCTATTAAAATTCACACCCGCTTGCCTGAAGGTGGCATTCTTATTTTCTTGACCGGTCAACACGAAGTTAATACAGTTGTTCAAAAATTACGCAAAGCATTTCCTTATAAGAAGAAAAAATGGGAAGCCACTAAGGCTCCCGTGAAAGACAGTGACTCCAAAAACGATGATAGTGACAGTAATGAGGATGAAGCAGAAGAAGACATCAATGCCAAGAATGCGTTCCGTCGGATAAAAAATAAACGAAAATTAAAAGCAATAAACTTACCTAGAATAAACCTTGATAGTTACTCGGCAGTTCCAACGGATGACACTCAAGAATATTCCTTCGATTTAGACGGCAATGATGATGACGACTTGGACTTGGACGAAGATGAAGATCAAGATGATGAAGATATTTTAGAATTGAATAGTCACTCGGACTCGCAGCCAATGTGGGTTCTACCGCTGTACTCGTTGCTTCCTGCTCACAAACAGGCAAAAATATTCGAAGCTATTCCCGAAGGCTGTCGACTTTGCGTGGTATCGACCAACGTTGCCGAAACTTCGCTAACTATTCCACGAATAAAATACGTGATAGACAGCGGTCGTTGTAAAGTCCGTTTGTATGATAAAATCACTGGAGTTACGACATTTAGAGTTGGCTATACAAGTCAAGCTGGAGCAGAACAGCGAGCTGGAAGATCTGGTAGAACGGGTCCAGGTCATTGTTATCGGCTCTACTCTTCCGCTGTTTTCAATAATGATTTTGAAAAGTTCAGCGAACCAGAAATACGACGCAAACCAGTCGATGATCTTTTATTACAGATGAAAGTTATGAAAATTGATAAAGTTGTTAACTTTCCATTTGTAACAGCACCTGATATTATTCAATTGAAGTCTGCTGAAAAACGTCTCTGTATTTTGGGGGCTTTAGAACAAGTAACGCGGCCAGAACACTTGGAAAGTTATTGTGCTAAAGTAAGTCCACTTGGTAAAAGTATTGCTGTGTTTCCCGTAGCACCACGGTACGGAAAAATGTTGGCGTTATCTCAGCAGCAGGACCTTTTAAAGTTTACTATCAGTATGGTATCCGCGTTGTCAGTTCCGGAACTGCTGATAGAGTCGCTCGGTTCTGAGGGTGAAACTAAGAAAAAGTGGTTGTTAAAGCGACGCAGCTGGGCTAAAACTGGTAATAGTTTACTTCTTGGTGATCCAATGGTGCTCATCCGAGCTGTTGGGGCTGCTGAGTTTGCACAATCTCAGGGTAAAATGGTGAAATTTTGTGAAGAAAATGGGCTGAATATAAAAGCAATAACAGAAATTCGAAAATTGCGCCAGCAACTTTCTAATGACATTGCGTTGAATATTCCTGAACTAGACTTGACAATCGATCCCAACATGGCACCACCAACCGATTTGCACGCTAAATTACTCCGTCAGATACTCCTAGCTGGTATGGCGGATCATGTTGCGAAAAGAGTGGATCCTGATGAAATAAAAGAGGATCAAGATAAAGCTAAATGGCGACATGCTTACAGAACTTTGGAAATGGAAACTCCTGTTTTCATGCACTCGTGTAGTGTTTTGAGGAAAGAAAAACCTGAGTGGGTGGTTTATCAGGAAATTTATGAAACAAATAAAATTTATATGAGAGGTGTTACTGCTATTGAACCAGAATGGCTTCATAAGTTTGCACCGACTCTATGTCGCATGAGTGAACCTCTTGATGACCCGGCTCCTACCTACGACTCTCAAACAGGAAAAGTTTTTTGTCATATGAGTGGGACGTTCGGTCGCGCTGCTTGGCAATTGCCAACTATGAAACTAGAATACCCACTGAATGTTAATGGAGTCAAATGTTTTGCAAGATTCTTTCTTGAAGGCAAAGTCTGTCCAAAATTAGAACAATTCGTTGGTTCGTTACTGGGTACTCCTAGTAGTATAAACAAGTCTTGGGCTGCGTATGTATTATGCTTATTACTTATAATACTGAATTTAACAAACATCTAATGATTTTTAAAATTTTTATAACAATTACATTATAATGAAAAAAATTTAACAAAAAAATTCCACATGTAGAAATTTTAAAAAATTATAAGTGCGCATTTTCAAAATGATTTTTATAATTATTATTATTATTATTATTATTATTATTATTATTATTATTATTATTTATTGTGCTTTAGCGTTAGCTATTTTGTTACAATACATATTAAAAAATTTTTTACAATTAAAATACATATACAAATATAATTCTGATATAATATTTTTAGATATTAAAGTCTTTTTTTATCAATTAAATTTATAATTATTATTATTAAATAATACTAATAATAATAAACTGACTGGTTATAAAAATTCAAAGAATTCTAAGATATCTGCTAATTTCAATATCATTATTACTTCTGAAAATATCAATATTGATAAAAATTTTTGCTTTTCAGAGTACTTACCAGGACAACTGCTATTACCAATGCTTTACTAAGTAAAGAAGTTATGTCAAAAGATAAATTATTGGAAGCGTGGAAAGAAGATAAATTCTGTAAGTATTTTCTATTATTTCTGAGTGAATAAATAAATATATTACTCATATACTTTTTAGTTTAATAATACATTCAATTTTTTTTACAGTTTTGTTGGACGCTTATAAAAAATGGTTGCCAGAATCAGCACACTCGGATGTAGAAAAAATATGGCCGCCTATATAAGTTATTGATGTGCCTATTAAATTGTACAAATTCTTTTATTTTATAAAGAAAATGTTTTATAAAGAAACTCGAGTTACACAATTATTTTTTTTGTTTAAAATCTACTATTATTATTGATTGTTTAGAAGTATTCTTCAATTTTTATTTTGTTCTATTTTGGATACTTTAACGTGAATACCATTCAGCGGTGCTAACAGAAACAATTTTTCATTGATTGTATAGTTGACGTCTGTTTTGTTGCACATATCAAACTTGAATGTTTGCAATAATTTTACTAATGCTATTTTCACCTCCATTTTTGCAAAACGCAACCCTATTTAAATAATTTACCATTTTAGTCTTGTTATAATTTATTTTAAGTACAATGCCTTACCGATGCAATTTCGTGGGCCAAGACCAAAAGGTAGATAAGACATTTGAGGTCGATTGTTTAACTCTTCATCGTTGAAACGTTCAGGGTCAAACACTTGAGGATTTTTATAATATTTTGAATCGTAGTGAATCCCAAAAATAGGGATCCATATTGTAGTTCCTTTGGGAATTGTTAAATTTATATCTGCAAATTTGTATGACTGCGTTGATCTTCTCAGTGTAAAATTAACTGGAGGATATTTTCTCAATGTTTCTGTAATTAAATACATATGCATAAATTCTCGATCATAATAATGTATTTATTTTTATGTACTGACCACACATTACTTTATCGAGATACTTAAGATTGTTAATCCCATCATATGTAATTTCGCCACCAGATCTCATTAATTCGTCATTGATTTCTTCTCGTAATTTATTTTGTACCGTATGATTTAATGCAAGCTCAAAGATACAATTACTTATTGTCGATCCAGAGGTTTCAAAGCCAGCAATGAAGAAAATGAACAATTGAGCCGCCAAATCTGTATCTGTTAAAACTAAAAAAAAAAAAATTAACTCAAAAAGGGAAGAATACAAAGTACTAAAAAATTACTCACTTATATCATCGTCTTCTTGAGATTTTTCCTTTAACGCCATCAACAAATCAATAAAATCATTACGATTGATATTATATTTTCTTCGGTGTTCAATACTTTGGCGTGTAATGTCAATAAAAAATTTTTGCATTTCCCAGTCAGTTAAATAACTTCCAATAAATTTGTAAATCAATGGTGCATAAGATTTCATTCTCAGTCTGATTAAATTTTTCAAATTCATACTGAAAATTCTACGTCCCATTTTGTAAAAAATGTTATCTTCATCCATTAGCGCGTCGGTTTTTAGACCAAATCCACAGATGCCAATAACGTCGATGGCAAATCTCTGCATTACAGCTCTAACTTCAACATCTTCACCCATTACTGCCATCAAATTTTCATTCAAGCGATCTGCACACTCGACTAATAGATTAATCATTTTTTTGAGCTTTATTGGCGAAAACATTGGAGTTAATTTACGTCTCAATAATCGCCATCGATCTTCATCAACAAATCCAACATTTGCCGATAGAGGTTCATGCTTATCGTGATAACCGATTCCACGGTCGACAAAACTTGAGAAATCTTTCATCATCACGTCTTTTATCAATTCCAAGTCTCTTAATAACAAAACTTTCTTCATTCCTGCATAAACGCCAACCACACGCTCATCTGGATATTGGTCGTAGATTTTTTTGGAGTAATTTCCTATTGATAATCTTCCGAGCAGCACGTCTTTTATTGTACCAATAAATGGCAATGGTTTTGGTCCATTAATTTTCCTTAATTTCCAATAATTGTAATTTGTAATATAATAGTATAGTAATAATAAACTGAACATTATTGATAGTATTATTGTAATTAAATCCATTATTAATTTCAATACTTGCAATTTGTTGGCATAAAATAATTTTACCTAAAAAAAAAAAAATAAAAATGATTATAATTTACAATGTTTAATTTTCTTTTACTTACTAGATTACAGAAGAAACGTAATTACTTCAAAAAAATGAAATTGAACTTCATATAAATTCAATTTATTATAATTTGACACTTCTAAGTCCCGAAAAAAAATGATTATACTCTAAATAATTTTTTAATAAAATTATTTTGTTCCAACTCCGAAGAAAATTTATTGATTAATAAAGACCAGGATAAAAATCCTTATAAATAAAGTGTTGACATACGTGGTTTATTCAAATTAATTTTTTAAATTCAATATTAAAAACAGTGCAAGGTTCTTGTAGACTCAAAGTTTACTTGTAAAATATTCACTTTAAAATTTTATAGGTAGTAAAAATCAATTAAATTGTCTTTATTATAAATAAATATAATGATCAGACTTTGTCTGTGATTTATTTTCAAGTATCATATTTTATTAGTACACTTACGTAAAAGATACAAGGAACATAAAATTACTCCTGGACTTTTACCGTGTTTTTAATATGATATATTGCATAAATTGTTTTATAGGCAATGAATTTATTAAATTATTAATTTTTCAATTATATATAACGATCCGTTGATCTTAAACCCAAAATTAGATTTTTTTTGGAAATCATTATTTTTTATAGTTTGATTTTAGTAATATAAATTATTGTCACTAAGAAATACTTCTCAGGTCTTACAAAAAATAAGCTTAAATGTTAACAACAATAAAAAAATTATTATGCATAATAAATTAATAAATAATTTTTACTCTGTTTAAGGTAGTTGTCATGGTACAATATTGTCAAAAAATTAGAGATTTTACGCGCTGCAAAAGTATATGAGCTTGTAGCTAAGTAATCCATAATTTTTACGTAAAACTGTACCCGTGGAGACGCAACCCATACAATATTGTTTCTGTCCGACTCCGTATATAGATATATATTTTTTCAGTTAGTTTTTTTTTATTTTTATTTTTATAACTAAGAAACTGGTACAGAACTGCAGAGAGCATATCCAATCAATGTTAAATATCCAACTTTTAATTAAATTCATCTCGGGTTATAGGTGGTCAATCAACTTCAAATTTTTAGGGTAATTGTATCATCATGTCCTTAATAAGTATACAAAAATTGAGAATTTTCTGATGGTATGCCTTAACCACAACAACTATCTCAAGAATGACTATTTTTATGAAATAAATAAGTTCAATTTACTAATTAAAAAAATCTCACTGTTAACTATTATGATACCGAACGAATCTTGAATTCATAACTCCAGCAATAACTACCATAAAAAAGTACATAGTTGTCGATAAGAGGAATACTGGGGGTAGGATAATCTGCTATGTATGAAGAGTAAACCAAAGTATACAATGGAGCACTTCCTAATGGTAGTATTGTTTCTATAAACGTCACCACAGAGAACACTTTACCTAAAGGACATATTAATTATTGTATTGTAGCAATAATAAATCGTTTATTTTTATTTGTGCAATTACCTAGGTCATCTGAAAGGACAGATTTAGAAATAGCTGATCTGCTGATAGGTACAATAATGCCAGTTAAAATTCCTAAAATGGAACCCAATTAAATATGCCAAGGTTTCCAGATGAAGGAGAACGTCACAGTTGCGGCGAAATCTGACAAGCATCCTACTAATATTTTTGTAAAATCATTAACATCTAAAACAGTTAATATAATAAATTAAATTATTGACGAAAAACAAAAAAATCATTTACCTGTGCGATTTTTCATTATTTCAAGTTCTATTATTGTCCCGACAATTGTTACAATTGTCGTCGAGCCGTTGTAAGTTGAAAACTCGATTTTACTCCAGTCAAACTTGGCATTAGCAAACAAGTAATTTATAGTTATCGTTCCGTTATTAATAATCGTTTAAAACGAAAAAATTGACAAAAAAAACTCCATAATAATTTTCTGCTTGAGCTATCACGTTTTTTTTGTACATGCCACTATTAATTCTTTGAGCAAAGACCAGTTAAATGGACTCTCCCATTTCTGTAATTATTTATTTATTTATTAATCAACGTACGCCTATCGGCAATGTACATCAGAAGAAATAATTTAAAATTAAATAATATTAATTAAGGAAAATTAATTAGAATTTAATTAAAGAAAATAAAAAAAAAAAAAATTCGATATATATATATATATGCAATATAATTATATAAATTCTTACTTTTATTTTAAATAAAATAATTTAAACAAATAAATAAATGATTCAATTTTACAGCATAATCAATAAATTATGTCATTATTCGTTTTCACAGTATTGGTAACCTGAAATAATATTAATCGTGAATAAAATATTACTCTAATATTTTTCTACATTTCTTTCTACTCATCAAATTTTACCTTGTGGAGCTTGTGTTCTTATCCAATCTATGTAAGCTCCAACTCTAGAGTTAACAGAAGGTTTTTCATCAGCGCACAAACGGCTGTAGCCGATTATCGCAACGAGAACAATATTTTTCGTGGTAGGATTTTCCCACAAAACGGGACCACCGCTGTCAAATTCACAGCTGTCTTTTCCATCCGTGAGAGTACAGAGCTGCCTTGATCCGATTTCGCTATACGTTTCCATGCAAATTTTATTTGTGATGACACTAACCCTCGCGTCTTGCAAGACAGGAGATTGTCGTCCGCCGAACTCGGTCAATCCCCAACCTATGAAGATTCAGAAGTATTAATAAATTGTATTGTTATAAATAATTTATCCAAAGATTCCTTACCAAGTAAGTCGACGTAGTTTCCTCCAAAACTGTCCAAAGAATGTTGAAAAGGAAGACAAGCAGGTCCCACTTGATGGCTGTATATCATTGTACCATCGATAGTGATCACCGCGATGTCATAATCCAGAAAATCGGTAGAGAATTCCGGATGTATGATGATACTGGCTACTTTGTATAACTTTGTTGCGTTGGTGTCAGTCGCTATGTAAGTCAGATAATTATTATGATTAAATTCTGTCTGCTTTCTCTTGAAAATAATGAAACTAATTTTATTTCAGATACTTACTTTTGGAAATATCGTGATCACCGATCATAACACCCACGGTGTTGGAACTTCTTCCATTGACACAATTTGCAGCTGTTAACACTTGCTGGGTATTTATGATAGTAGATCCGCAGAATACATTTTGGTTTATCACATCAATAAGTCCTGCCATCATCGGATACTCGTTAACACCAGTGGATACCCCTCCAACGATTCTCGTCTATAAATTATTTAATTATCAAGTAAGTAAACGCTAACAATATTTGTAAATGATGATACTCAAATCAGCAGAAGTTTAAAAATTTTTTGTTTTTTTTTTTTTTTTTTTTATTGATTAAATTAGAACTGAGAAAATATTTTTGAAAAATTGAATTTACCTATAGTTTTTCAAATCTTTTACATTTGAAATAAATCGTGAAAAAAAATTTTTTTTTTTGTGATAATGTTTTTAATAAGAAGAATCCTAAAAATTTTCAAAAGTCATGTTACTGAAATTAACAGACATCTGACAATTTTTTGGATGTTTATAATTACTTAATTAATATGAAAAAAATTTAATAAAAAAATTCTACGTATAAAAATTTAAAAGAATTACAAGTGTAAATTTTGTAAAAATATTTTTTTTTTTTAGAATAGATTTGTAATAAAAATGCAAAAAACTGTCAAACGTCTGCTAATTTATAACACCTATACTAAAGTTAGCCGACGTTTTTGATTTTTTTTCATTTATTAAATTTTAGAACTAAAATATTTTTCTTAACAATTGCACTTAGTTTTTCAAGTTTTTTTATAAATGAATTTTTTTTTTTTTTTTTTTGTAATAATTGTTACAATAAAAAAAATTTTTTCAATTTTTAGATGTAGGGGCTTCAAGTGAAGTTATAACTCAGCAAAAAAAAAAAACTTTTGCTATCAGCAGTTATATGGAGTTAGATAAATGCATTTTGAAGTGGGAGTAACAATTCAAAATCGCGGATTCACAGGTTACAATTAAGGAAAATATAATTTTTTTGCAAGAGCAATTTTAGACATATTGAAAAGGAGTTTCATGCACTGCATACAAATTTTTAAAAACTAAAATAAACAACTTTTGATTAATTTTCGAAACGACTCAGTTTCACCTCTCTCTCTCTTTTTCTATCTAAAATCGAATTTAATCGAATTAATTTTAAATATTATACTTTAAATTTAAATAACAATAATATTTACTTATTCGACTAATTATGGTAATAAATTATTTATTAAAATTTTAGACTTGCCGGATTTTTCCAACCACAGCTGCACTCGTTATTATTGTCACTATCAGATCTGACCTCACAAAGGAATCGTCCGGCAGACAAATGCGATGAGACAATTATCCTATTACCATCCTCAGCATGAACATCGATGGGACCTGTGCCACAGTAGCGTTCACCCTGATTTGTTGCAGATGTTTGAAGAATAAAAGCATCGGACTTGCAATAGGGAGACTGTAAGTATATTGTACTTATAAATATATAATTTTACATTAAATCACAATATTGATTATTGTTTTTCATACCTCAGGCAACGAAATAGAACAATTCATTTTGATCAGCCGATCACTGTTAACGATCCACCGGCAAGAATTCATGGGTGCACTTTCATCATTCGGATAATTTGGGTTATATATGTAATAAGTTTGTCCTGGGTTTAGTGTTTGCTCATAATTACAGCCATCAAATTGGGCGTTGCTCATCCCGGTAAGGACCAGAAGAAACATTAGTGGACTTAGTTCTCCTAAAGAAGAAATATTATGAAAATTAAGTTAGCCGACAGGTAAAAATTAAAAAAAATTTTTAATTAAAAAATGCCTACAAAAAAAAAAAAAGAAATAAAAATTGTCATTTGTTAAAAACTTGAAAAATTGTAAGTGCAATTTTTAAAAAATATTTTTTTTTGTTCTAATTTAATTATTAGGAAAAAATCAAAAAATTAAGAACGTCGGCCAACTTTAGTATCATGAAATATTATCAACTATTAATTATTCATTATTATTTACAAAAGTTCCTCACATTATTGTAATTATTAAATTATGATTAATTATATTAACCATTTGATGGATCTTAACTTACTAGACAACATTTTGACAAATACTTGTTACTTCTCCTTTAAATTGCAAACTAAATCGACGGAGAAATTCAACTGCGATATATAAACTGCTATAAGCCAGACTGATAACGAATATGAAAATTCTGTGAGCGTGTTTTTGTATTTAATTGTTATTTATTCTGCGCATTTCAAATTTAAGACTGAAAATTGATCAAAAAGCTTATGTTTGATTATTTTTCAATAGGCTCCAAAAAAATTTGAACCTACTTGTAAAAAGTATCCGTCAACATTGAATAGAATTCTAATCTTCATGTTTTAATTTCAAGTTCAAGTTTTGCGTGCTTATCATTAAACACACTTATTTATTTGCTTATTATTTATTTATTTTTTTTTCAATAAACAACTATCGATAGTTTATCTACGTGGTTAAAGGCATTCTTTATTACCTGTATATCGCTCTAATTTATAGTTCTGAAAAACATTTAGACTAATCAAATGAATTTTATCTACTTAAAGCGAATAATTATGTTCCTTGAGAAATTGATAAAACATAAAATAAATTTTTTAACAATTTTTAGTAAATTTCATAAAAATCTAACTATTGCAGTCGTCGTCATGGCGCAACTTTTAAAAAATTCGGCCATTTTCTGACTTAGCTCGACAAACTGAGTCAGAAAATATCGTTCGTTCAAAAGTTTATATGGACACTGTTATGCATTAATGTGTTAAGTGCTATTATATGGAAATCCTATATATAGTCACTCATCACGATATCTCGGGAACCATCAGACCTAGAAACTTGAAATTTGGTAGGAATATTACTTTTGCCATGTAGAGGTCAGCTAAGAACGGTTTTTAAGAAATTCCTCCCCCAAAGAAGTTTGCGGGGGCGTTAACAATGAAAAATTCCTATTTGTAAAATATAGCTCTTATAAACCCCAAATTTGTTAAGAATCTTCTATATGTGATGAAGAAATAATTTAAGAGCGAATTTTATGACGAACTACCCCCAATAAGGATTGCGGGATTGGGTGTTAACAATAAAAAATATCAATTTCAAAAATATAGCTTCAAGAAGTTGTAAATATAGTAGGAATCTTTTATTTTTCATGTCGAGCTCATCTCAAAACGGATTTCAATAAATTCTACTTCCGATAGGGATTGCGGGGTGGGCGTTAAAATCTAAGATTTTAATTTCCAAACTGTAACTTCTGCAGACTAAATTTGGTCAGAATTTTCGTGTATGATGTCAACTTCAGCTAAGAATTAGAATTTCCCGAAAAAAATGTATTTTATTGTTAAAAAAACATGGGGTGCATGGTGTCAATGGTTATAAATATTTTATTGACAAATATGAGAAGAAAGATTATCATTTCGCTAATATCTTAAAAAGCACTCCACGCTTTTTTTTTAAATAAAATACATTTTTTTCTTATTTACACTATTATGTAATTTATATTTATTAAAATTTTTTACACTATTCTAATTCAAATTTATTTTCTATTTTTTCGTTAGGTTTTCTATAAAAAGCGTATTTTTTAGTTTTTTAAACTATTATTTATATTCTATTTTTTAGTTCGGCTAACTACAGAAGCGAGATTTTATTTTTTTTCAATCTACTATTAATTCCGTGATTACTATTAGTAATTATAATTACGACTATTGCCTTGACTATTGTGCCGAGCCGAGTGCTTGAATCAGAAAGGTACGCATGCGCAAGACCACGCGCTTGCCCTATCTTTCTTGCTCTCACGCATAGGATGCGTGAAAAAATCATTTAATCCTGATGATCCTAATTAGTATAATGGAATAATCTTATCAAATTAGTGTATTGTCATCGGTCCTCGATAAGTCTACGAAGTTTAAATGAAATCTGATCGTTTGAAGTGGATCAAAATCAAGTCCAAAGGAGTCGGTTACAAACAAACAAACATACAAGTGAAACTAATAAAATAAATAAAAATAATAAAAAAAAAATAAATAAATAAAATAAAATAAAAATAAAAAAAAGCGTCTAAAAATAAAGGTAAAATGCTTTCAATTAATGATCATTAATTTGGTAATCATTATTGAACTTGCATGTACTTGGACCATTTTATTCAGCTCCCTTATTGTCTCTTCACTTTCACCGTTCGTATGAATAATATCACAATTATTTTTATTTGATGTCAATATTTGTTTACATGTTTGAAAGATAATCATGTCAGTTAAAACATTAACTGTAAAATAATTAATATTTATAATAAGAATACTAATATTTACTTTTTTTTAAGTACCTGTTATTCCGTTGACAAACGCGATTGTAAATATCGCTGGTTGTATCAATAAAAAATGTTTCCGATTATTTTTTACCATCAACACATTTATTGTTGTCCATTTTTAATCAGTACTCGTTGATTGATATCGAAAACATCCATAGGTTGTTTTATAATTTTTAGAAGAAATTAACTAATTTTGTAATAAATCTACAGAATGGATTGTAAAAAACTTTTCTGAAGTACCTGCATCCCAAACTAGAATGCAGCTATCGTGTAACTAATGTTTTTTTTTTTTAGTTAATAATAATTATTTTTGATATTGTCATTGCTTCCGATAAAGATAATTTGTTTTCATTATCTCTATTTTCTGTGAATTTATATTGAGTATAAAAAATATCTTCAAGAAGCTTATATTGGTTGATAACAGAATCTGTTCAAATATTATTTATGAAGTGAAAATTTCTTCATCCTCGTTGTCATTTGAAATTCGAAAAAAGGAAAAAGAGACAAACATACACATCTATAAGACTCGACGTGCGAGAGAATAAGAGAGTGCTTTCACTATGGTTAATAATTTTAAACTAGCCAAAATCTCATCATGTTCTTTTTTTTTTTTTTTAATTAATTAAATCATTAAATCATTAAATCATTAGATCAAATTATGGATACCAGGACTTTGAAAACGATATATCATGCGTTATTTGAAAGTATAATAAACTATGGTATTATAGCTTGGGGGGGGGGGGTGCCTACAAAAATGTAATCAACCCTCTATTGTCTATGCAAAAAAGAATTATTAAAAAACTTAGGCTAGAACATAACACACCACTAAATATCAAGCAAACTTTTATCTTAAATAGTTTATTATACTACTATGATGCATGTAAAAAACTGTACAAGGATTATGATGGTAGATCTAGACATAAAAAGATAAAACTCTGTAAAATCAATAAAATGAAATACTGCAAAAGTCCATATTACGTAGCAACAAAATATTTTAATATTTTACCAATGCAATATAAAGAATTATCGAAACTTAATAAAACAAACAAAGTCGAAATAAAAAAATGGTTATCAAATACTCAAAGTCATCTAATTCACTAAAATAATAAAATAATAAAAAATTAATAAAAAATTAGTAACCAAATACAAAATCAAAGCAAATATAAAATAGATCAAACACTTAATTTTAATTTATCCTTTAAGGCTCATGAAAGAGTGACTCAATTAGTTATAAAGATTTTTGTAAATTACTAGGCATTAAGCCTATCTCTTTTTCCCTACCCTATGTACAGACAATATTTGTTTCTATGGGGATTATATGTAGTTATTTTTGTAAGACTATGTATGTAATTTTTGGGAAGTAAATAAATAAATAAAAACTCATAAACAAAATTTTGGGCTTAAAAAGCTATAATTTGCTTTTTAGTAGACCCACATCCGACTAATAGATCTTTAATAATGAATAATTGAAATTTAGGCTGCATTTTATAAAAAAAAAAAAAAAAAAGAATCTAGCGAGCTGAAAAATCATCCGATCGTTTTGAAAATTTAACTACTGATTCCTTACGTAAAATTGAACATTTTGAGTTTCGGTAGGAATTTTTATATCAAAAATTCAATTTTTTAAAGAAAAAAATGTGTTTTTTAAAAAATGTCCGTATCTCGGAAAATAATAACACAAAAAAATTTTACTTTTGCTTAAACAATCGAGAAAACTATAGCGCAAAATTTGTCTATTTCGGAAAAAATAATTTTCAAACTTGGTATCAATATTATCATAAATGATCACTAAAATTACGCAACTTCTGAGATTTTACATTCGTCTAATTATCTTAAAGTTTACTTTTCTGAAGGTTTTACTTCTACCGCGTGTGAAGATGCTTTTTTTTTTTTTTTTTTTAATTTCTATACATAATTCTCTGAACAAACTTTTTTATTTCACTCGAGATTTTTATAAATCATAGATTTATTAAAAAGTATGCCTGTACATTGAAAATAAATAACGATGTTTAATGTCTTAATAAAATAATGCACTAAATTAAAAAAATTATGACAAGTTTGGTTGAGTCTCGTGTTGCTTGATTATTTTTTCACTTTTCGTCAATTTCATAGTACCATTAATAATTGCCATTAGAAAAAATATTCCAGAAGACAATAACCAAACTGGTGACGGATAAGTAAAAATAAAAGAAGAATATGTTAAACTGTACAACGGAGAACTCAACAACGGTAGTATTCTCTCAGCGAGTGTTGCTAATGAAAATACTTTGCCTATAAAATTAAATTTCTTTTAATTACAATCACTTTTTTTTTGTTGATTTATATTAAATATATAAATACCTAAATCTTTTGCCGGGGTCGATTGAGACATCAGAGACCGGGTTGAAGGGAGTACAATACCACGAAAAACTCCTAAACAAATTTGCCCGTACATATGCCAGGTCTTCGTAGCGAAGGAAAGTGATAGAGCACTTAACATGCCTGATACACATCCGATTAGTATTGCAGTAATGTCGGTGAGACCTAGAGCAATGATTACTTTATTAAATTAATAATATAATTAAAAAAAAGTTAATCTTGATATATTCCAAGCGTCACATAAAAAATTGTTGACTTTTTGGTAAATTTTATTTAACAAGAAGTTAAAAATTAACAATTGTCAACTTAAATTCAACAAAATATTACCAAAAAAATTTTTGTGCCGCTTGGGATACTTTAATTTTAATGACATTGAAATCAATAGACATTTTACAATTTTAAAAATTTTTATAACAATGTGACAACAATTATAACAACGATTATTTTTTTCGAGCAATTTTCCTGCCACATACACGGATCCATAAACACAGACACATGGACATCCAGGAAAGATTATTTTTAACGTTATTATTTACTATGTTAAACAAAATAATTGTTATTGAAATATATTTTATGTGCCTGACAGATTATTTGACTTGATGTAAGTGCACTCATATTATCCTGTAAGTGCGATATAAATAAAAAAAAATCAATTTCAGTTTTG